CCCCCATTTTATACATCTGGATTCTGTCGGCTTTTACTAACGTAAAACCTCCAAAATCATGTACCACACTATCTCTATGTTGCGTCAGCCAAGATTCTGTGATTGTGATTATATCTGGCTTGGTAGAGTCAATCCGTACACCTAGTTCCGACCACCTATTGGGCAGGCTTCGGTCATTCGTGTAACAGATCCGAAGCATATTTAGGTGGCTTCGCGCTGCATCCAAAGTGGCTTCGGCACCATCATCTGTCGAAGCCTCACAACCCGAAAATTTACAATTTTTAGATCCTTTTGGCCAGCATCTAACCTACGTTTTAGTTCTTTTTCGGCTTCCTACCTTTTTATACGGTCTACGAGCAGCCAGTTCTTACGGACAAAAACTCCTGAACCCTTAAGATTGTGTTCATTCTGTAATATTAAGTCCCGTTCATTAGGGAATTTAAATACTACTTTAAGCATCCTGGTTTGAGTTTGCCTCAAGTTCGTTTGGCTATCTAGTCTATACACCTTTATCAAAGTGACTCCGGAGATATCCTGATGTATAAGCTGATTTAGTAGTTGTTTTATTAACCCAATGTCATGCTCTAAACGAGTTTCAGGTTCCGAGCCTTCACTCTCCTTGATTTTATGAAAGATAACTGACTTGTTACTGTGATCAATCTGTGGGCTTGTCTGTCAATTTGTCAGCTACTTTTGGTGCATTGAATTTTCTTTAACAGTGTAATGTTGTTTCTTATTCTCGAGCTGTACACATTTATTATATATTGGTTGGAGTAGCAACTGTAGTCGCATCAAACATACTGCGGGATTCCGAGAGGTTATTGACATCTTGGGCAGTCAGGTTGTTTCTACTGTTAGAAACAGACGTACCTTTGCTATTGGGGTTCTTAGGCGTCCCCTGACGACTCCCATTTAGAGGACAGGGGACAGGAAACTTCATTTCTCGGGTTTTTATTTAGGACAGACCTCTTTGAAGTCGTTCTTTTCTCCCTAGATTGGTGTGAGTCAGCTGTTACCGAGCTCGCTTGAGATGGCTTCACATCAATTTGTGTGTCGACAGGTCGAGTATTGTCCTACGTATCCCGATCACGTTTGCTAATACACTTTTCAGCAGCATTTATCATTGAAATGGCCTCGGCTAGCAAGCTGCTTACGTCCGAGCAACACTTCTGGCAAAATCACCCACAACCGTTTTTACTAAACCGCTTGAAAGCCGCAGGCGTCAGATTCGTGCAAAATTCGTGGTACCAGCTTTTCCACTCGTCTCACTGCATGCCACTTTCAACGGGTATCGATCGTCCGGGAGTCAGCAATTGGTTTTCTTGCACTGTTGAGCCATCAAACAGAGGTTTTCAAGAAGAAACTAGATACCATAATACCCAGAGAAAAAAGTAAATCATGACCAAAATGGTGTAAGTTGTTAGAATGAAGAGTTCTAACAAATACAATTCGTCTCGAGTGTCTGAAGACTGGCCGTCATTTATTAGCCTTGGTTATGAGAATTTCTCGACTTATTAAACCTCGTTTTTCACGCTTCTACTTACGTTTCTGTAAGTAAATGTCATAGCAAAGTGTTTCGTTATACCTTGCTATAAAAACCAGTATTTCAAAATACAAACTTCAGATTAAGATAAGCCAGAATAACGAATTGTCTGTTCTTTGGAATCTGCATCTGGATACTGAGAAAGCGTTCTTGGTTATTAAAAGTCATAGATCCTATTTGGTTTCTTAATATAGTTAACAGTGGTTTTTGGGTAGTAATCCGAAATCAATACCCGCAGAACAAAGGCAAACATTGAGCATGCTCCTGGGAAGTCAAGAAAAAGATACCCGTGATAGTTTTTCTGTTAGGCGGCTCGACAGCTAATTGGTTTTGGCGGTGAAAATCCTAGCATGGCATTTCGCTCGAGTCTTCCACATTATGCACATAGTTGACGAACTCTTAAATATATTACGTGATCGGGGTAGTCTGTTGATGAGAAGATTATGGCCTATATAATAATTCCCGATCATGCACCCTTTAATCCCTCTGTATTGCATATACTGTAAATCTGAAGCCTCCAGAGTAAGTGAATAGATTTCATTTTCATTTCGAGTATCTTTTTGATAAATCTTCTTCAAGCACGTCCCGAAAATGTGCTGTCTTTAGGGAGAATTCATGCTGTCGTTAGTTAGGCTACCTAATGCTTAAGAAAGAAACCTTTAACCGGGTTTTCTTTAATGAATACATGATGTCATCCGGAAGAAATTCCGGGAGTATCACATATAGTGATTTCAGATTCTTTTATGTAACAGAAAGTATGATCCCAAAAGCACCCTAAAATTACGAGGTATCTCTTTTACAGCCATTTAGCATATGCATCGTTTGGTATTAGGAAAGTGGAACTCATCGTTTTTCCAGCGATATATTCAGGGAAAGACTTTTTAAAAAGTTGGGAAGCGAGCAAAACCTAGTGTTTTCATTCAATTTTAGATGTCATATACACTTATAAGTGTTTCGAGATTTAGGGCAGAAAATAAAGTAAGAAAAGGCAAACGATCTGTACATCACTTAAAGACCGTAACAACCAAATTTTCGAGGTTAACAGCTAGTCATAGGCTTGTTGTCAGAGTGAAAAGATAACAGCCTGAAGTCAGGGTTGTTTACCTTCATATTTTATGCGGTATTCAATTTTACAATTTCCTCTTTTGGATGACAAAATTTGTATGTGTTTATATAGGACAAGCCTGATCTCCATTTGCTCTACGTGCTGTATCACAAATGTTTTGACAAGGCTGCTTTAGGCTTATTCTGACCTCATCATCCAACAGGTTATTAATAATCAGTTTCAGTTTGGAAAGGATAGGAAGCTTGATGGCCTGTGTTAGTCCTGGCAATTGTGTTCTCTCAGTTGATCCAACTTTCTTTTGAAAGAATCTACGGATGGAGCTTCAACCACGTGTTGAGGTAATGAATTCCACTCGTTGATGATTCGGTGGGAAAGTCGATAATCAGCTGACAATTAATTTGTTCTGGGCTTGTGAACATTTTTGGAGTGTCCTCGTAAATTCTCTGTTTTGGAAGACAGGAAAAATGGGGGCATATCAGGTGCAAATTTATCACTAAGCAATTTGAAAACTGTAATCAAGTCGCCTCTAGTTCTACGATATGACAAAAGGAATAGGTTAAGCTTGGCCAGTCGAGCATCATACGGAAGCTTCGCTATTACGGGAATCAGCTTAGTTGCTGTTCTCTGGACCTTTTCCAAAAGCTCACTGCCTTTTTTAAGCAGGGGCTAGCCGCCTGTATGCAGTACTCAAGTTTAGGACGTACGAACACTGTATACAAAGTCAAAAACGTTTGAGCGTCGACATGAGTAAAAGCCCTACGTATTGACCATAAAGTTCTAAAAGCTTTGGCGGCTATTGCACGGCAGTGTGCAGTAGTCCTCAGATCTTGGATAACGATGACTCCTAAGTCATTATGTGTCTGGACAACAGGTAGCTCAGTGTATCTATACCTTGGTGACCGATATGCATCACAACACATGGAAGTATTTGTCGGCAGCTGCCAGGTATGAGACCATTCGGATAATTTCTTCAGGTCATTTTGAAGTTCTGAACTATCACCCTTACATCGTATCGTTCTCCATATCTTGACATCGTCAGCATACAGCAAGGCCGATGATGATAATAGGCGGGGAAGGTCATTTACATATAACAGGAATAGCACTGGCCCCAAAACTACCCTGGGGCACTCCACTAAGCACAGTTTCCCACCTAGATAACTTTGAGCTTACCCGTACTCTTTGTTGGCGCTCAACTAGGAAGTCTTCTATCCACGTCAATAGATTGCCTCGAATTCCGACATTTTTTAGCTTATATAACAGCCGGTTGTGCGGAACCTTGTCAAAAGCTTTGCTGAAATCAATGTAAGCCACGTCTACAGGTAACTTTTGGTCCTTAAAAGCGCACCAGTTTTCTCAAGTGACTAATAAGTTAGTGAGACAAGAATAACCTATTCTGAAACCGTACTGTTTCTCCGAGCGGATTCGGTTTACATCGAGGTATTTAAACAGCTCTTTCCGAATCATCTTTTCTAAGATTTTAACAACCACATTAGTTAGGCTAACGGGTCAGTAATTCTCAGGTTTAGGTTTCGTACCTGTTTTGAAGACAGGACTTACTATGGCGTCCTTCCAGTCTTTTAGTAAGCGACCCTGCGTTACGGATAGCTTCAGGTGTTCGGTATGTAAAAGTTAAAGAGAAAACTACATATCCGATAAGCTTTTTAAACAGCGATCTGAATAATGAGTCCCAGTGGGTAGACTAAAACAGTTAGGTAGCACGTACAATTTAGGACAGACGTTAACAAACCTACAGGAGACGATATTAAAGTTCCAGGGTTGAATCTGGTTATTGTTGTGATCACGATATTTTACTGGCCATGTAATTTATATCTGTAGCAATGAGAGCATGTGAATGTAGTATGACTAAACAACTGCAAGTTATTCGGTAGAAAGAAATGTCAGGATTTATTCAGTTCTCATTTGTATGGAACGAATGGACTCAGAAGCAGTGTTGTTATACAAAGTAGGACGCCCATAAGGGAGTGAAACAAAAGAGATCAGTGTCAATGATGTAACTGGTTGCTTGAAAATTATGATCGACTTCGAGTAAATTCGAAAAAAGTAGTGGTGAATTCAATGAAGAACTACGAGAAAACTTCAGGACTTTGTACAGAGCAGTAACATACAAACCTAGATTTGCATATAAATATGGACATCGAAAATGAACAAAATGGTAATCCAATACATATGACTGACCTCGACAGCCGTAAGGAGAGCAACAAGAATTTGCTTCACCAAAGATGTACCAAGACAAAAACTCACTAGTGCATAAGCATAGGCTTGCACTCGAATATATTTTTCACATAAATATGGTAGCTATAGCGAAGCAAATGATGAACTGTTACGTAGTGGCTACAATATAAGGACTAATAGTGAATGTGCTACGCCATGCTAAGTAGATCTCAAAGTAGTTACTGGAAAATGGGTCCAACAATCCACCAGACAAGAAAACAATCGATATCTATGGTCTGTTACGAAGTGATTAGGATACGTCTCATAAATTTTACCACCTCTAAACCAAACATTTGACGAATTAGAAAGTAGGTCGAAGCCAACATACCTTCAGATTCTGTTAAAATTTAAACATACCTTAAAGGATGAAGAGCGTCAACCGTCTCGCTTGGGGTAGAAACAATTTCTTTGCTTGTTTTCAGATCATCAGAAGAATAACAATAATTGTTAACGTCACGACTAGTAACTGGCACACTAGGATGATGTGGTTTGACGAAAGCAGTACGCAAACCACTGCCAAACTTTGAGAAGAAGCTCTTCACTTTATCTATGGATGCTTTATTGAATAAAAAGGTTTAATTCACTTGGCAACAAGCAAAAAACTTAGAAATAAGGGTTTATCACAGGGAGAAACCATGTTTTATTTCCATCAACAAACAACAGGATAAGACTTACTAGGTTCAGGTCCGTTATCTGAGGCATCGGGAGCCCTTTTCTGTGGTAGAAATTAGCGGAACGTAACTCTCAAACCTTTATGAATGCCTTCATGCACAGTTAACCAAAATCTACATTGAGTATTGCGCTTCATACGACCTACAAGTTAATAATAGTCGAACAATTGACATTACTGAATACCTGAATATTAACTTACCATTTATAATGTCTTTTGTATATTATCATAAAAATGTGCGCATTTTTCAAATGACTGAAGGAATAAAGTGTTTCGCTGCAGTTTCTAACAATAGAAAATCCCTGATTTATTCAGTCAGGAGCCCGGATATCCAGGCAAAACATAGCTAAATGCGAAAATAAAGTGTAACTAAGCATCCCACTTGAAGGCTGCTCAGAACATGAAAGATATGAGATTCAAGGGCCACTAAACCGTAAAGCCCTATCTATTTTGGCTTTTACACCTACCTATTTTCCTACTGATCTGGTTTCTTCTATTAATAACACGAGGGTTACCTAGAGGCATGAAAGGTTAACCACACCGTGCAACCTTTGGAATTATTCTAGAGACGGTTGCTAGACACCGAATCGAGGTATAACACGTTCGGTAGGGAACTCTTAGTTATGTATTGCGCCGTACTGCATTTTCAACACTCTATCGAAGGCCTGGAACACACTCTTTTCACCGATCACCAACCTCTTACCTTCACTTTAAGCTCATCTTCAGAAAAGTAATCACATCAATAGTCTCGACAACTGGACTATATTTCGAAGTTTACTTCGAACATACAACACATTTCTGGAGTTGCAGACACCTTGTCTCGTATAACTGTAGAATTATGGTCTACTATGATATTAGTACTGCTCTAATAATAGACCTAATCCTAAAATTGTAGATTTGTCATGATATAACTGCCTAATCTATAAGATCTTACGTGGAAGTCACATCATCGTCTACACCAACTCACTGCATCGTAACAATTACCAATACATGATGGAGAACAAACTTAGGCTAAAGATAGAACAATATATTTAATATGAATAAATGATATAAGGTAACATTCAGCAGGGACTACGCCTGCATGGTCGAGCCATGCCGTCAGATTAACTCGAATTAATTCAATTCATTATCCCCGCCTTCTCCATGCTTCTATATTTCTCCGCGTTAAATGTTGAATGCCTATTTCCTATATTGTCTCGTGTTGAGCCCAATGCCACTACATAACTTCTTTGAACAGTTTCCAAGGAATCGACCTACTTAAACTCGCCCAGCTTCAAAAAGAAGACACTGATCTTCAGAAAGTGTTGTCTTCAATAACCCCTAAACTTCGTATTTAACAGGTGGGAACAGGTTAGGATACCTTACTACGTGACACATCTACAGGTAGGGATCATCCAATCGTGCCGAGACATTATCGACGCAACGTCTTCAATACGTTGCACAAACTTTCTCGCCCAGGTGTTCGTGCAGCCATCAAGCTCATAGAAGAACCATTTTGATGACCTGGTGTGAATAAAGACGTGAGGGAGTTGGTACGCTTCTGTGCAAGCTGTCAGAAATCTAAGGTAATTAAATGCGACAAATATCCCTCAGGTTCATCTAAAACTCTTGATGCTCGTTTGGACTATTGCTATCTGGATTTAGTAGAACCTTTACCAAGTTCAAACAGACACTCTTATCTTTTAACACTCGTAGACCGTAGTCCGGAAGCAGTACCTATCAAAGACATTACTGTCGAAAAAGTGACTTGTGCCTTCGTCGAACGGTGAGTAGCAAACATCTGCTGCCCTTCAACCATCACTACAATTCGCGAACGCCAGTTCGAAACTGGATGTTTTCGTTGTCGGACCACACTATTAGGAACCATTCGCTTTCGAACGACTGCCTACGAACCAAAAGGAAACGGGCTGGTAGAACGCTTTCACCGACAGCCAAAAGTTTCAATATCAGCTGCAAACGTTTCACAGTGGACTGACGCTATTGCACTCGGCTTACCAGGTATTCGCGATGCAGTGAAAGCTGATATTGGATACACTACAGATGAACTCGTTTATGGAGCGACGTTTCGATTTCCAGGAGAATTCATGGATCCTTCATCTTCCTCAATGAGCATGGATCTAACCTCCTACACGAGCAAGCTTACATACGTAATGCGTTCAGTTAAACCTGTTTCCACTCGACCGCAATCAGCTGATGTTTTCGTTCAACCTGACTTACGGTATAATACACACGTCGCCTGCTTTGTGCCTTTACGCACGTACGAGTGTATTTCAACATGCACTTATATATCCTTTTTTCATTTTCCAGGACTTCAGGAAAAGACGAAAAAACAACGACGAAGATTACTATGGACCGAGATTTTCATTGTACCTTGTTTCGTTATTACCATATTGTACTACATGGTCCCTTGTAGTAAGGAAAGACGACCAGACGCTGCTAAACTTAGCAAGCTATCAGAAGAGTGTTTACCAACGACAAACTTGTCGGTTTTAAACTTCTGGCTGGCCACGCCTTAGGATCATCACTACCCCAATAGGAGGAAGTGATCTGTAGCGGTAAATAAGTTACCAAAATAAATAGCTCTGTAAATCTTCGACATTGAATGCTGACCACATTAGTTTCAACGGGCTCACCTGGCTGAAGGCACTCGATCATGCATACTCAGCAGATCATGAGTGAGAACGCCATGCTCAACATCCCCTGCAATCGCTAGCCAATCTAGATCAGTTGATTTTCGATATATTGGTAGTCTATCAAATATATCTTCGAACCTCCTCGCTTCTGTCTTTTGATTTCACTTGGTGAGTACGATTCATAGTGAAAGGTTTTACTGGTTAAAGCGTTGTCAATCTCCGAATACCTGTGGCATATTCACTTTGTAAGACGGGATTATTTTTTCCTGTGCCATTCAGCATCTAAGATTGTCAATTAAGAATTTCTCATTGGTAAAAATGCAGTCCAAGTGTAACGGTTTCTTTCCGTTTTTTATAGGATTCCAGACCTCACGCCTCCAAATAGTGTCAGTCTCCTCTTCACAGTATGCTCACTTGATTTTTATCTAGGACGGCTGAAGTCTACTATGATAATGATTTAAATATGTGCTAGAACAAGTGAGTTGGATAATCCTTCTATTGTCCACTTTTTGTGCCGGAAATTAGCAACAAGCCTGGTATGTGTCACTTCAACCAGACAACGTGTGGCAGTAGATAGGCCCACTGAGGTTTACACAGATTCGTCGTGATTCAAAATCACATGAGAGTATTCCTGACAGATCTCCTGTTATACTCTTGGTGTGGCTGAATAAAAATATTAGGAACTTCCCGACAGAACTATTTGAAACTTTCGCGTATACTTTCCATCCTTTTCTTAATGAGCCTTTTGTTAATGGGGTAAAAGCCAAAATAGATAGGGCTTTACGGTTTAGTGGCCCTTGAATCTCATATCTTTCATGTTCTGAGCAGCCTTCAAGTGGGATGCTTAGTTACACTTTATTTTCGCATTTAGCTATGTTTTGCCTGGATATCCGGGCTCCTGACTGAATAAATCAGGGATTTTCTATTGTTAGAAACTGCAGCGAAACACTTTATTCCTTCAGTCATTTGAAAAATGCGCACATTTTTATGATAATATACAAAAGACATTATAAATGGTAAGTTAATATTCAGGTATTCAGTAATGTCAATTGTTCGACTATTATTAACTTGTAGGTCGTATGAAGCGCAATACTCAATGTAGATTTTGGTTAACTGTGCATGAAGGCATTCATAAAGGTTTGAGAGTTACGTTCCGCTAATTTCTACCACAGAAAAGGGCTCCCGATGCCTCAGATAACGGACCTGAACCTAGTAAGTCTTATCCTGTTGTTTGTTGATGGAAATAAAACATGGTTTCTCCCTGTGATAAACCCTTATTTCTAAGTTTTTTGCTTGTTGCCAAGTGAATTAAACCTTTTTATTCAATAAAGCATCCATAGATAAAGTGAAGAGCTTCTTCTCAAAGTTTGGCAGTGGTTTGCGTACTGCTTTCGTCAAACCACATCATCCTAGTGTGCCAGTTACTAGTCGTGACGTTAACAATTATTGTTATTCTTCTGATGATCTGAAAACAAGCAAAGAAATTGTTTCTACCCCAAGCGAGACGGTTGACGCTCTTCATCCTTTAAGGTATGTTTAAATTTTAACAGAATCTGAAGGTATGTTGGCTTCGACCTACTTTCTAATTCGTCAAATGTTTGGTTTAGAGGTGGTAAAATTTATGAGACGTATCCTAATCACTTCGTAACAGACCATAGATATCGATTGTTTTCTTGTCTGGTGGATTGTTGGACCCATTTTCCAGTAACTACTTTGAGATCTACTTAGCATGGCGTAGCACATTCACTATTAGTCCTTATATTGTAGCCACTACGTAACAGTTCATCATTTGCTTCGCTATAGCTACCATATTTATGTGAAAAATATATTCGAGTGCAAGCCTATGCTTATGCACTAGTGAGTTTTTGTCTTGGTACATCTTTGGTGAAGCAAATTCTTGTTGCTCTCCTTACGGCTGTCGAGGTCAGTCATATGTATTGGATTACCATTTTGTTCATTTTCGATGTCCATATTTATATGCAAATCTAGGTTTGTATGTTACTGCTCTGTACAAAGTCCTGAAGTTTTCTCGTAGTTCTTCATTGAATTCACCACTACTTTTTTCGAATTTACTCGAAGTCGATCATAATTTTCAAGCAACCAGTTACATCATTGACACTGATCTCTTTTGTTTCACTCCCTTATGGGCGTCCTACTTTGTATAACAACACTGCTTCTGAGTCCATTCGTTCCATACAAATGAGAACTGAATAAATCCTGACATTTCTTTCTACCGAATAACTTGCAGTTGTTTAGTCATACTACATTCACATGCTCTCATTGCTACAGATATAAATTACATGGCCAGTAAAATATCGTGATCACAACAATAACCAGATTCAACCCTGGAACTTTAATATCGTCTCCTGTAGGTTTGTTAACGTCTGTCCTAAATTGTACGTGCTACCTAACTGTTTTAGTCTACCCACTGGGACTCATTATTCAGATCGCTGTTTAAAAAGCTT